GGCAGGCCCGGGTTGGATTCAAACCTGCCACCTTAGGTGTATGTGGCTGGCACCTTAGCCACTTGAGCCACAGGCGCCGAGCCAAGAACTTTTTATTGAGACAGGGTCTTGCTCTGTCTCCTAGGCTACAGTGCAGCCTCAAACTTTCCTAGGCTCAAGTGTTCCTTCAGCTTCAGTCTCCCAAGTAGCTGGGATTACAGGCATGTATCACCACACCCAGCTAACCTTCCTATTTTTTATAGAGACAGGGTCTTGACCTTGCTCAGGCTGATCTCAAACTCCTGGCCTCAAGCACTCCTGCTACCTTGACCTCTCAAAGTGCTAGGATCATGGCTGGCGCCTGTGGCTCAGTGACTAAAGTGCCAGCCCCATATACCAAGAGTGATGGGTTCGAACCCAGCCCCAGCCAACTGCAACCAAAACAAAAAGCCGAGCATTGTGGCAGGCGCCTGTAGTCCCAGCTGCTCGGGAGGCTGAGGCAAGAGAATCGCCTAAGCCCAAGAGCTGGAGGTTGCTGTGAGCTGTGATGCCATAGTACTCTACCGAGGGCGACAAAAACTCTTGTCTCTACAAAAAAAAAGTGCTAGGATCACATTTACTGTGCCCTGCCAGAGGTGAGAAATTTGTCCTACTGAGGCAGAAGCAAGAGCAGAGCTGTAGGGAGCTGGAACCATTGCCAAGTCCTTTCCCTCAGAGAAGAGTATTGAGACATTCTTTGGAGCTCAACAGAAACCTTTCCCCTCTGTTACAGTCCACTGTACTGCTTGCCAAAGGAAGTGGCATAATGTTGGTGAAGAAACACCGCATTATACCCCCTGACTCCATAGGTGGCCTTGGGAAAGGGGTCAATCCTCTAGGCCTTGGATTGTCCATGGATGTAATTGGGGGATGGGCTTGGCACCTGTAGTTCAGTGGTTACAGCGCCAGCCTCATACACCAAGGGTGGTGGGTTCAAACCTGGCCTGGGCCAGCTAAACAACCGCAACAAAAAAATAGTTGGGCACTGTTGCAGGTGCCTGTAGTCCCAGCTATTAGGGAGGCTGAGGCAAGAGAATCGCTTAAGCCCTAGAGTTTGAGGTTGCTGTGAGCTGTGGTGCCACAGCGCTCTACTGAGGGCTACAGCTTGAGACTCTGTTTCAAAAAAAAGCGGGCGGCACAAGGAGTAGGGCGCCAGCCCAGTATACCACAATGCGGGTTCAACCTCGGCCCCAGGCAAAAAAAAAGAAAAAAAAAGTGGGATGGACTAAATCAGGGTCACAAACTCAAAACAGCTGCCAAGACCAGGCAGGTATCACAATGAATGAGGACAGGGCACTAGATGGCCTCTTAAGGAAGCAACTCCAACCAGTAGCTACCATGCTAGAATGTAGGGCTAGGGTTGTCGGTTGGGCACTTGTACAAGGAAGCTTAGAAACCTGGATTGCTATGGGAAATCTCCCAAATTTAAAAATTTTTTTCTGGCCAGGCATGTGGCCTGTAATCTTAGCACTTTGGGAGACAAAGGCAGGAGGATCACTTGAGCACAGGCGTTTGAGACCAGCCTAAGCAAGAGTGAGACCCCATTCCTACAAAAAATAAGAAAAATTAGTGAGGCATGATGGCTTATACCTACAGTCACAGCTACTCTGGAGGCTGAGGCAGACGATCTCTTGAACCGAGGAGTTTGAGGCTACAGTGAACTCTAGCCTGGGCAAAAGAGGGAGACCTTGTCTGTACAATTTTTTTTTAATTTTTTTTTTTTTTTTAGAGACAGAGTCTCACTTTATCGCCCTTGGTAGTGTGCCATGGCATCACAGCTCACAACAACCTTCAGCTCTTGGACTTAGCTGATTCTCTTGCCTTAGCCTCCCGAGTAGCTGGGACTACAGGCATCTGCCATAACTCACAGCTATATTTTTGTTGCAGTTTGGCCGGAGCTGGGTTTGAACCCACCACCCTCTGTATATGGGACCAGCACCCTACTCACTGAGCCACAGGCACTGCCCTTTAATGTTTTTGTTGTTGTTTTTTGAGACAAAGTCTTACTTTGTCGCCCTCAGTAGAGTGCTGTAGCGTCACAGGTCACAGCAACCTCCAACTCTTGGGCTTAAATGATTCTCTTGCCTCAGCCTCCCAAGTAGCTGGGACTACAGGTGCCTGCTACAACACCCGGCTATTTTTTGGTTGCAGTTGTCACTGTTTAGCAGGCCCAGGCCCAGATTCGAACCCCCCAGCTCAAGTGTACGTGGCTGGCACCCTAGCTGCTGAGCTACAGGTGCCAAGCCTTTTTTAATGTTTTTTCTTAGGTGCGAGGCCCTAGACAAAGCATATCTGCAGTTTTGATCAGCTAGTGGACTCCAGTTTACAGCCTCTGGGGCAGACCCCAGCTGAACAGTATTGGATTTGATAGTTGTTCCAGGAAGTCTGGGTGCCTGCCAAGCATGCTCAAGGGGCCCCTTTATTGTACAGACAGGGAAACTAGCCCCAAGAGAGGAGAGGGCTGGCCTGAGACCAGGGCCAGAACCTGAGACTATGTATTCTCATTCTTTTTTTTTCCCCCTACTTGGTTGCTCTGGGTAGAGAGGGTCATGATATCCTAGCTCACAGAACTTCAAACTCTTGGGTTTGGCAATTCTCTTACTTCAGCCTCCTGAGTAGCTGGGACTATAAGCATATGCCACAACATTCAGCTAGTTTTTCTATTTTTACTAGAGACGGGCTGGTCTTGAACTGAGCTCAAGCAACCCACCCACCTCAGTCTCCCAGAGTGCTGCATTCTCATTCTTAGCCCAGGGCTTCTTTCCCCTTGACAAGCAGAGGGCACTGGGCAGTGTAGTGGTCAAGAGCAGGGCTCTGGATCATGCTCACTCCACTGGGCCATGGAGTGGCTGTGTGGCTGGGGCAGGTTCTTTCCCCCTTCTTTGGCTGTAAATGTGGATGGTAAGAGCACCCTCCACCATGTGTGAGGATTCAGGGAGATAAGGCATGCACACCTCTCAGCACAGAGGGACCCCAGTGAGTTCCCACTAACATTTTTAGAATCCTATAAACCACACCAGGCAGGGCTGAGGTGCCTGGGATGATCTTCAGCACAACCCTCTGGAGAACAAGGCTGCTTGGGAAAGAAGGCTCGATCCAGAAGCTGTGTTCAGGAGTCATTTTTATTCAGTATCTTACACCATAACAACCAGAGTTCAATCGGAGAGGAAACAGGAGAAAGAAGAGACCAGAGCACTTTCATGTGTGAAATCTCCTCAAGGAGGAGATTGTGTTGGGGCAATGGGGAGACAGAGAGACAAAATTTGGGAAACATTCAACCTAGCCCAGGCTGCTGCCCCGTCACTTCTGTCTCTTGCCTGCTGTCCACAGGGCTGATATAATTTCCCTATTGTAGCCTGGGGGCCAAGCAAGGTGCTGGTGTTCATAGCTGAAGCCTCACTTGAGAGCAGATAGGGCCAGAGCCCTATGTGAGAGGCTTTTAGGTGTACAGCGGGGGGAAGGGCAGCTCAGCTGTTGGCTGGAGCCTGCACAGGACAGAGGAGATGACCTTGAGATGCCAGATCACTGCTCCTAAGCTCTAGGGCCTAAATCTTCAGGGGACCATTTGGGGCACACACCTCCACCTGCCACCTACCAGTTCTCTGGGCTCCATACAGTTCCAGCAGCATCCATGAGGTGGAACGTATACACATGGCGCGACCAGGCAGAGAGGTTCTGCTCGCTCTTGTGTACCACTTCTCCATGGATTAAGACCATGGCCCCTGGCCAGGAGACAAGCATATCAGGACACCAGCCCCACATTTCCCTTTCCCAGGGCAGGAAGGGACATGGGTAGTCCTAACCCAAGTCGTTCATGGCTTCCCTCCATTCCCATTCCCTTCCCTTCCCAGGAAGCTCAGGTGTATGCAGCCTGCTTCAGGGCCAGAGGTCGTGCTGCTGAGATGTGTGTTCCCTTTAAGTTCCCTCTGCTATGGTCATGGTAAGCCTTAGGAAGGGCCTCCAGTACTCTGGGACCATGCCAGTGACACTGAGTCAGACCTCAGCTTTCCCTTTTTCATGAGGAAGAGGGGGGACTCATGGCCAACATTTGCTGAGCCCTTGTGATGCACCATGTGGGTTCTATGTAAACATATTATATATATCATCTCACTGATTTCTACACTTTACAGCTGAGGATACTGACACTCAGCTAGTCAGCTATTTACCAAAGAAGCAGCCTGTACATAGCAGGGTATGGGTACCAACCCAATCAGGGTGAATGTGCTGGTAACCACATTCCTTCCTGACCTCCTAGTGCCCATCCAGCCATGCTTTCTCTTTTTGTGACTTCACCACCCTCAGATGACCCTGAGAGAGCCAGCTGGACATTGGATGGTGGAGCAAGTACAGACCCATGGGCACAGATAGCCCCCTGCCTCCCTACCCTCTGCATCTTGCCCACCTCTCCGGACAGGCGTGGCCACAAAGAGGCTGTTGTCCCGTTCAGGCTCAGACCCGAGGAAGCTGGTACCAGGCGCTGAGCCAGCAGGGGCCCAGACCATCCTTCTGGACACACCACCTGCAGGCCAACGTGGAGCTTTATGCCCTTTTCTCCAGGTCCCTTGGACCCTGGAGGGCAGGAGGAAGGGGGAGTTTGGGTGGGCAGGGAGAGACAGGGGTCCTCACTGGTGTGGGAGCCAGGGATGAACCAGAGACAGCCATTCTCCAGCGTGGCGTCCTCCAGCGCAAACCATATGCCCAGCACCCGGCCCAGTGGCTCCGTGTACAGGAAGGTAGTGTCCTGGTGAGGGGAAACTGTGGCAGGCCCGCCTGGGGGTGAGGATCTGCTCCCTTTACCTGGTGCCACCTCACCTGGGCCTTTCCCACTCCTCAGTCCTCAGTCCTCTCCAAGCCCTCCAGAACCAGCCTTCCCATGAGCAGTTACAGTCTCACCACATCCTGGCCCAGGAACTCTAGGCAAGAGGTTTCGCTCCTCAAAGCTTCAGTTTCCTGACCCATAAAGTGGCCACAGCAATAACTTAGCTCATGGGTTGCCAAAGTGATGTATGAAAAGTACTTAGTATGGGGCCCAACACTGTAATTGCTGTTGAGAAGTAGCTGCTCCTCTTCATCATTCCAGCCACGTAACTAAAGCCATTGTTTTGGTTGGGTTTTTTTTTGGGGGGGGGGTGCTTTGGTTTGGTTTTGAGACAGGATTTCACTCTGTCGCTCAGGCTGCAGTGTAGTGACATCGTCATAACTCACTACTGCCGCCAACACTGCTGTTGAGCTCAAGCCATCCTCTGGCCTCAGCCTCTGAGCAGCTGGGACTACAAATGTAAGCCACCACACCTGGCTAATTTATTTGTAGAGACAGTGTCTCCACATGTTACCGAGGCTTGTTTCAAACTCCTGGCCTCAAGTAGTCCTCCTGCCTTGGCCTCCCAAAGTGCTGGGATTACAGGTATAAGCCAACACACCAGGCCAGGTCACTGTTCTTAACCAGGACAAGCAGTCTCCAGCCACCAACCAGATGGTTCTCCCAGTGAGTAAGACTGGGAAATTGGGTAGTTGTTCCAGAAAGTCTGGGTGCCTGCCAGGCACTGATGTCCCACATGTCCCATCCATGCCCTCTGCTGGGCCCCACAGCTGGCTCTGAGCTCACCTTCGCCGCCAATGTGAGGTTGCTGCAAGAAAGAAGAGGAGGAGCCTGGTGAGGATGGGAGAGTGGGGAGGAGCCGGGCTCGCTGTGGGTGTCCCAGGATGCTGCTTCCCTGGTTATAGATATTTACCCCCCAGGATTCTATGTCAACACCAGCTACCAAGCACCTACTGTGTGCCAGGCCCAGGAGGGAAGCAAGCATAAAGATCACCCTGCCCAACATGGAGCCCCAGTCTGTGTGGGAGATAGCACACACATGCCCAAGATCGCAAGGCAGAACAGAGTGTGGGCTAGACAAGAAGGCTGGGACATAGGCCAGTGATAGAGCTATTCAGCCCCAGAGTGGGAGATGAGTTTCTCTTTTCTCAGGGGCTCTGGAGCCTTCTTGGAGGAGGTGGCACTGAGCTGGGCCTTGATAGCTGGAAGCAGAGCATTTCAATAGCCAAAGAAGGGAGGTGGGAGTCCCAGAGGTCCTCTTCCCTCTTACCACCAATTTTAACTAAGTGCCAATTAAGTGTTAGATGCTTTAGCCCAGTGGTTCTCAACATGTGGGTCAAGACCCCTTTGGGGGTCAAATGACCCTTTCACAGGGGTTGCCTAAGACCAGTTCATAATAGTACCAAATTACACTTCAGCTAGAGGGGCCAGTGTTCTCCCACGAACATAATAATTCCAACAGCAGTTTGTAAGGAAGGGCTTGGAGTGAGCAGTCTGCCCATTTTACAGACAGTCAACTGAGGCCTGGGGGAGACAAGGAGCTCACCTTAAAGATGTACATGCTCTGTACCACCACGGGCATCTGGAGGCCCAGACTTCTGGCCAAGGCCTGGAGGAGGACAGAGATGATGCTGCCAGCCTGCTCCCACACACATCTGGCCCACTGTCCTGCCCTCAGCTCCGCCTCAGCTCACCTGTACTTTGGGGGAGTGTGTGACACTCCTGAAGACAGGGTCATGAGCGTGCAGCGCTGCAGGACAGAGGCAAGCTGATGGCCAGTCACAGGCCCCATGTGTCCCTCCCACACCTAGCTCTTGGCACCCAGACTCAGGCCTCACTTTGACATTCTCACTTATTTTGTATGCACTGAACTTAATGCTATTTATTACCAAGTAGTGGGCCCCACAGATACCTTCGCCCCACCCCAGTTCCCATGCCACCCATGACCTTATTCTTGACCTCTGGCCATCTGAGAAGCTCACACCAGCCCTGATTTTCCACCCCTCAGTACAGCCACTTACTCTATGTGACCTCAGGTAACCATTTCTCTCCTCTAAGCCTCAGTTTCCTCCTCTCTCTAATAGGTATTAGAATTACAGCCTCCCAGGGCTGTAGTAGGACTCAATGGACTAAGGAATATGCACAGTAGCCCAGGGCCTAGTACCAAGTAGAAACTTCTTGTCACCACTTGCTAATTACTATTGCTATTACAAAAACCAAAGGAAGAATGTATTTAATGCTGCTGAATTACATAGTTTAAAATAGTCACAATGGTAAATTTTACATTATGTATATTTTACCACAACTTGTTTTCAAAGCTACCATAATAGAACTTCAAGTTTAAAAATAAGCAATTCAGACATTGTGGCTCACACCTGTATTCCTAGCACTCTGGGAGGCCAAAGTAGGTAGATTGCTTGAGCTCAGGATTTCAAGACCAGTCTAAGCAAGAGTGAGACCCATTTCTACTAAAAATAGAAAAACTAACCAGGCATCATGGCAGGTGCTTATAGTCCCAGATACTTGGGAGGCTGAGGCAGCAGGATCTCTTAAGCCCAAGAATTTGAAGTTGCTGTGGGCTATGATGCCATGGCATTCTACCCAGGGTGACATAGTGAAGCTTTGTCTCAAAAAAAAAAAAAAAGGAATCTACAAAACAAATTATAATGTATGAATGATCCTGAAAAAAAAAAAAAAAGATGAGGGTTTCTTCACATGGTTATGGGGCCTTGAATTAGGGAGGTATCAGCATGTCGGGTGTCCTGTCAGGAGGCTGCAGGAAGCGCTGGATCCAGAAGCTCCCCCAGTGCCTGGGCCTGGGGTCTGAGTCATCCCCTCAGCAGGTGTAGAGCAGAGGAGGCTGTATTTGCCCATCAGTGGGGGTTCATGTGGACCCCCTCTGCCCAGTGTTGTGGTGGCAGTGTCGTGTAATTAGCAAGCCCAAGACCAGAGGGGAAGCCTGCAGCTAGAAATGCCATTAGCCTGACCTCTAACTTACTATGGGCTTTAAGGCCCTTAAATGCTTCAGACCTCAGTTTCCCCATTTTCTTTCTTGTACCTCCCCAGGCCCCTGCTCACCATGGCCAATTTTGTTGATGGATTTCTCTGGAGGGACCAGGAAATTTCCTGTGGCACAAAGAATCAGTAAAGGCAGAAATAGAGTCCAGCCAGCCATGGACAGCTGGCTCAGCACCCTCCCAGCCCTGGAGTGGGGGGAACACTTAAGTCCAGCCCAGCCCACCCTCCCCCCCCAGAGCTCCTCCCACATCCAGCTGGCCCCAGCTCCAAACCTTTCTTGTCAAAAACGCCTTTCTCAAAGAAGAATCGAATCTTGTCGCCACTGCTCAAGAAATAGTCTGTGCTGCCCTGTGGAAGGGGCCAACAGAGGGAACGACAGAGCATCCTGGGGGCTGGGCCTGCCAAGGAGGGGAGAGTTCCTTCCCTCCCCTACAGGCCACAGAGGCCTGAGGAGGCTGCTCAACTTGTCCTTTTTGGCACAATGAACCAGAACCCAAGTGCCTGGAAGCACATCCCAAAGCTGCTTTTCTTGGAAATTGTTTGATATTGTGATTCAGAACACAGATGCCAGATCAAACAGGCTGGTTCCCAGGTAGCCTTGAACCCCACCTTTTACTTCTCAAAGCCTTGATTTCCTCATCAGTAAAAGGGGGACTGACCTCCCTGTGTTATTGGAGGCTTCTTCCAGAGACCAAAATTTTTTTTTTTGAGACAGAGTTTCATTATGTCACCCCCTCAGTAGAGTGCTGTGCTCTGGCATCACAGCTCACATCAACCTCCAAGCCCAAGTGATTCTCTTGCCTCAGCCTCCCAAGTAGCTGGGACTACAGGTGCCCACCACAATGCCCA